TACATAATACAGACAGAGAATTGTATAAAAAGTTCACTAAACAGGAAATAATCTGCTCAAAATTCATCCAAATCTCTGGTTTTACACAAACCTCCTACAGTTTTAATTGTACAGTTTTAAATATAATGGGAAATATCTATCAAATCTGTCACTGATTCACTTTATTAATGATAGAAAAAGAACCAGCGATTTAAAACTCACAGGATCAGATTTTATTCTAATTAAACTCTGTGTAATCAATCTCTGACAGGTCTGAGCAGCTGTTACTGTGAAGGTGTAACTCTGTTATGAACTGGAGGTGAGACACAGACTGTGAGGTGGATGAACATCAGTCGGGTCGGTTCCTCACCCTGTCGATGAAACACTGCAGGAACCATTTGGTGCTGTAAATCCCTGCAGACATCTGCTCTCTGTCCTGCAGAGAGACACACAGACAATCAGCAACCGGAATTGTTTCTGCGCCCTCATTCTCTCTCTCATCAAACACTCGTGTAGCCGTGAACTCACCAGATGTTTCTTCAGCTTGGGGACAAGTTTAGAAATAATCTGATCATGATGCGTCTGGAACCGCTGAAGTTTGGGGAACCCGGGAACAAAAAATCCTGAAAGAGGAAGAGAGGCACTTTTTTATTAATCCAACTTCAGTCCAAATCACGCTCGACCAGCAGTTATCGTCTCGCTGCGGCGGCTCACCGTGCATGCCGTGTTTCTGATCGGTCAGCAGCTGCGACAGCGCCCAGAAGGCGTCTTCCTCGTTCATGTACATCAGCAGCAGGGCGGCGATCTGACTCATCCCCTGGCAGTAGCTCACCTCCTGCAGGCAACAGAACGAAGGACGGTCACATTACAGAGGAATCTTTACTCAAAGGAGCCTCTTATATCACTGAGTAAGCCGACTTATTTAATGGATATTTCAGATTATATTCAATAATAATAACAACAGTAGAGCTCATTAACTGTACAATGAACCCAAACAGAGAAATAACATGTTTTGCAAATGTATGTAAGGGTATTTCTGCCAATGTGATGAAAAAAAGAATCCTGTAAGTCATTATTATAACGTTTTCTCATTATTTTGTGATATTATATTCAATGTATGACAATAACAGTCGAGAACAGCTAAAAACTGCACAATGAACGCAAATAGTTTGTGTAAAATCAGAAAATTTGGATGAAGTTTGATTAATTATGTGTGAATATTGCATCAAAATATGTTTGTTTGTTTTTTTAACAATCAAACAAACTTAATTAGCTTCTTCTTTGACAATTTCAGTGTTTTCTTCTCATTGTTTTTATCAGCTCTGTGAATATAGATTTATATTCAGGGCTTTAAGAAGGTCTTGCAAAACCCTGTAAAGCAATATTAATATTTCTTATAAATAACATGTTTTGCAAATGTATGGAAGCTCATTTCTGCCAAGGTGATGAAAAAAAAGGTTCCTGTAAGTCATTATTTTGTGAACATTTCTCAGGATCAGAAATACTTTATTTAGAGTTTGTCATTATTTTGGTAAAGTTTCATCACATTGGCAGAAATGGTCCTCCATACAGCCTGTTTTAAAACTGCCATTCTTTCAGGGTTTCCAGCAGTGTTTTGTTTTGGACGTATGTTAGTCGGCCCAGAATTTATTGGTACAATTAAATATTACCATTGAGGGAAACAGCTGAGGTTTATTTCACACAACAAACTCTATATTCCTAACGAGTGTGTGTAATGTTCAGGCTGTAATCAACTAACTACGCAGCAGTTTCCACCAGCTGTGTTTAACAGTGATGTCCCGCCTGCAGCCGCTGAGAGCCGACCGGTGATCAGACACTTAAGAGCAACTGCATCCGCCGCCCTTAACTCATATAATAGAAACAAACTGTGGCAGCAGAACGACCCACCACTGGAAACAAATCTAATTACGTCTCAGGGAAGAAGGAAAACTCCTAGAATAGAATCCAGATTATTATCAGTTAAATCGAGTTAAAGTGGCATTTCATGTTTCATGTGATGAAGGAACAACAGCTCACTTACTGTGTTGTAGACCGAATATGCAGAAAGAACGTGGAAAAGAGACTGCTGCCTGCAGACAGGAGAGGAAGACAGGCACATGAGATGTTTTCAAGTGTTGTCCACATGTCTACAGGGAATTATTATACGTATATAGTGGACATCTTGTCCCACAATGCAACATAAACATCTGAAACTGTGTTTGAAGTCGTCTATATGAGACTCTGTGTAAACACTGTCAGCCGGAGATTGTTCTGCCTTCAACAGGAGGTCTCACTCTGCTCTGTTTAAACTGGACTCACAAACAAACCCTCTAAAAGAAGATAACACAGAAAACCACAAAACACAGGGAACATAAAAACACGCAGAAACGGAGAAACCCGAACGCACAGCAGACAGAATCACAGAACTCGCTCTACAGAACCGACACTGCTTTCTGTCACTATGAAAAGGTTCCTGTTTGCCGGACCGCTGAACTCGTATTAAATACTGAGGCGTTCTGCTGCCCCAGACTTTCCACTGCCGCCCCTGAACGGGCCTGCGGCCTATTAAACTGTCAGTGACATCACTCTGTGACAGGATCAGGTTCCACACCAAACCCCCAACGCCATCCAGAACCCGGCCTGCCCACCTCTCTCACACTCAGTTCACACCGAGGTCGCACCACCAGAGTCTTTACAACAGCACACAGAAACCTGCCTCACATCCCGACGTTGATCTGCTGCATCTCAGTTTCTGTAAAACCTGAACCTGTGCTGAGCAATGTGAGTCAGAACTTTGATGAAAATCGATTACAGATGGAAAATCTGGCTGAAAACCGCTGTGAAACTTACTTGACTCCGAAGCGATCCATGAACATGATGTGGTTTCGAAAGGTCCTGTTGATGTCCAGGTCGATCTGCTTGATCTCAGACGAGTACAGTCGGGCCTGTTCCTTCATTCTCTGAGCGGAGACAAGAGAGCCGAGTCAACGAGGTGTGAACAGTTGAGAGATACTTGTGACTGAGTGAAGCAGCTAAAATAAAATAATCACATCAAAAAAGCTGTGAAAGCTGAGATTTTCAGGCTCTCCAGGTACCACAGACCCTGTTCAGCATCTCTTAAATTGTACATTTATTATAGTTATTTTTAGTTATTTTTAGTTGGTGATTAATGGAGATATTGTTTGTAAATTACCTCAAACACATCTTTTAAATAACCACACTGATATTTGTAGTTACTTAGCAGCCGATACTGATTTATCTTGGCCAGTTCATCGGTCTCCTCCATCTAATCTGCTGTAAAAATGCTTCTTCCTCACTTTTTTAATGCATGGATATTAACTGCATTTTAGAGACTATTAAAGAGACTAATTTCCCATTGTGAGTGCACAACCTCGTATTTGCCCTCGTTCTCCTTCTTCGTCCTCTCCACGTCCAGCATCAGCGCCCAGGCCCGGCCTCTGAGCTGCAGGGGGATGCCCTTGTACACCCGCTTCACCATCTGACGGCCGAGAGCAGCAGAACACAAACACCAGGTGAACAAAGAGCCAGAAGGTTTACTGTGAAGTGTGTGAGTCACTGGAAAGTTTGACCGCCCACGGTTCGCCTACGACGATATTCACAGGAACAAAGCAGAAAGTTTTTCACATTTGAAACAGGTTTGTGTGTGTGTGTGAGTGTCAGACATCGAGCCTGGAATAATCACAGTGTTGTTTACCTGTGTAGGTTGAATGGGCCTGAAACCTCCCAATATAACTTACTCTGGCAGCTTCTACTGACAGCAGGAGCTCAGAAATGTTTAACTTAAAAATACTCAGAAAATTAGCGAGAAGGGGTCCAACTGCAGTCGTCCCTCCGGAGGCCCCTGAGAGCCAACTGACAACAACATGAGCTGGGTTTAGTTGTAAAGACTACGTCAGCCTTCACTTATTTTACTTTAACAGTCCATCAAAATCAGTTTCAGAGCAAATCTGAGATGAGAAACAAGGAATGCAGCTGCTGAATCATTATTAAAGATGAAAAAATCTGAGATACTAAGTCGTTATTTCGAGATATAAAGTCGTTATTTCGAGATACTAAGTCGATACTAAGTTGTTATTTTGAGATGCTAAGTCATTATTTTGATTCACAGAATCCTTTTTCTTTCCCTGTCACATTGGCGGAAATTAGCTTCCATACATATCAGATCTACGAGGCCTAATTTCAAACTTTGTTCTAACTTTTGTACGGCAGTGACACAACTGGTTTCTCACATATATCTGTTTCTTTTTCTCTTAAGTAAATTAAATGGTGTCGTTAACAGGAAGCAATCACCTTCCTTACTGTAGTTTCAAACAACCATTGTTAACCAACATCTATCTGGCGTCACTCAGGCTTATGTGTATTGATATTAAACATATTACTGTATCAGATACATGTAAGTGTTGAGTGTTTTATAGTTGGTTGGGAAACTGTTAGTGTGGGTGGAGGTTTTCCCCTCCAATTATCTTCCAGTGTGACTCATATTTAAAGGATTCTGTTGAGTTCAGACTGAGTGAGCATGTACTGAAGGAATTCACTGTCTTCATTCTCCGACCTCACAATCGCACTGACCACATAGAAACCGGCCACTAACGGTCTGAACTCTCCGGCCGTGTGTGTGTGTGTGTGTGTGTGTGTGTTACTCACCCTGTCACTGTTCTTGTATTTATCCCACTTCTTCACCATCTTCAGCCACTTCTCCGCTCTCTCTATCTCCAGCTGCTTCCGCTGTGAGGGAAACAGGAGCTGGTGAACATGTTCACAACCTGAGACTGTACCTCAGTGAGTCCGCTACGGTGGCTGAGAGGTGTCAGTGAAAAGCAAAGGTCACAATGAAACAGGGCAACTGTTATCAGACTCTTATTAGCAGCGGACTTATTGCCCGCTGAAGAGGAAAGTTGTTGCCCGTTTGAGAACTACTTGAAATGTTGTTTGCTAGCAGACTCTGATCACTATGCAGAAACTACGCTAACAATGAACCTGAGAAGTTTTTCGACTCTCCAGTCAAATGTGTTTTAAGTAGAACAGCAGATATGTGCTTATTAAATGTGTTCTCTAATTTTTAAGGCTGAAATGACCAATTATTTCACTTATGACCCCAAAAGCATTAGCATAAACAGATATAAAGTTAGTGTAGTAACTACAGTCCGAGTGTAAAGAATCAGATTTATTACATTAAATCTGTAGTTTTTATTGTTTCATGTGTAAAAGGTTTAAATAGATGAAAGGAAGTTTAACATTTCACACATTTAATTTAATTAGCACTGCCTAATTATTAACTGTAATTAGCATTACCTTGCCCTGTGTAGTTAGCTAGTTACACAGTAATATCTGAACTATTATCACTATCATCACTATCTGCTACGATCAGCTCAGCTAATAACACACAGATGGAGTCAGTAAGAGAGTTCCCAGAAGAGAACATGAAGATTCACTGTTTTAATTCCCACATTGTCCTGAAATTGTTCAGACTTTAATGATTTACAGACACTGAAGCCGTAACTGCAGTTTGGTTTTTGGTTGGTTCTTGTAGTTATTTTTACGACTGAACTTGTCACAAGATAAAACAAACATTTAAAAGTTCATTTTCAGTCAGTTTTTGCCGTTCGCAGACACTCTCGGCCACCGTCGTCCACTCACGTCTCCGTCTGCTGGACAGAAACACATTCTGGCCCAAAACCAGTTGTTTAGTTCTGGATTTCCTTCTTTACCTTTTCCTCGTGGGTAGTCGGGGCGGGCAGCTCGTCCTCACTGGACAAAACAAACCACAACAAACAGTTAAAAACTGACGGTGACAAATCTCCACCAACAGAAGGAGAGAAAACTTACTGCATGAAGCCGAAGCGGTCGATGACTTTGTAGATACTGTAGTCAGCATCTTCCCAGGGGTCGATCTCCACCCCGCCCTGCCGGCCCTGGAGACGCATACAGAGGAGCATGTGAGCACATAACACCAGTACAACCCATCCAGTGAAACACAACATAATGGACTCAAAGACACCCGCCTCTAAAAACAACTAATGCAAAACCAATATGTGAGAACATATCAGAAAATATCGTATTAATTGACACTGCATTGATTATTGGGCAGATCCCACTGTGTTTCTAAACTATATATTGAACTGTAACCTCTCAACCTCTGTCATCGTAATACTTATTTTTAACGGGAAAACAAATTAAGAGGCAACTTTGCTGTTCTTATAACTAATGAGGCAAAAAATGTGAAGGTTTTCCTGATGGTGGCGCCAGAGCAGAGGCCATATTGTTCATCCTCTGTACGGTGGCCATTTTCGGACATTTGAGGTTCAGCTCTTCATTGGTTAGTGTGTCATTAGTTTGTGAGCCTTAGTTTTAGTTATGGACAGCTTTGTGCTACAGCACAGTGATCAGATTGTCCCGGTTTTATTAAAATACTAATTACTATCACACTTGTTTCCAGTGTTTACAGCATTAATCATTCTGTCCTGCTCATTACAAACCCAATACAAAAACATAAACATATCTGAATTTAAATCTAACAGACTCTGTAAGCATGCTAACAGTTAGCTCTCAGTTTGAAGAGAAAGTCTGTCTGAAGACATCCTCTACACTTTCTCCTTCCTCAGTAAAGTAATGCTGCGTTCATGGCGTCCACCGCACTGAAAGGTGCGTTTGTTTGGTGCTAAACGCTAAAATAATGTCCCCATCCTGATGAAAATGGTGCAAACATAAATGTGCGCTACACTAAGTAAGTATGTGGGTTTGCAAATATGGTCACCCTATGCTAAGCATGCTAACACAAGCACAAGTGCTGTTAGCATATTTTACCATATCAGTTACACTGATTTGTTAGCATGCTAAGTAGTAACATTAACGCTGAATGTGGTTAGCGTGCTACATTTGGTCCTTTTGGTACCATGAATGTCTGAAACACACGGCTTCGTTGGAACAGACGTTTAATTCCTTTAACACAGATGGAAATAATCTCTAATTGTTTTTTGTTCAGCAAATTTGACAACTAACAGCGTACAGACGGCGAGCAACGGACTTCACATGATATTAATCACAACTCGGACTGATCCAACGACGCATACTGACCGAAGTTTAAACGTTTTTATTTGTGTTGGCAAAACGGTATAAAGCTCTCTCAAGCGGGCGACCCGGTGGGTTTAACTGGTTTTATACATCCAGATAATTTCTATAAAATCCAGACCAGGCCTCTATTGGAGACCAGTGTGTAATTGGGACCTCGTTTTTGTAGTAAGTCCTTTTTAGTAGTTTTTTATTCCTACAGTTTCATTTAGTTTTCTTCACAGAAATGCTGAGATATAATCCTACTGTGTACATTTTTTAGGTTTTATAGGACGCCTTAAACTCAAGAAGGCCTCGCGACCATCATTAAGCTTTGGCGACCCCTACTGGGGGTCCAGACCCCCGGTTGGGTCTATCACACTTTGGTTCGAGATTGAGCCAATTTCATGTCGATTCATCCAGTAAAATATCTGAACCAAAGTGGTGGAGTGACGACTCTCTTTCTTTACAACCATTTGCATTCACTCTTTATTCACACACTGACACTGAAGTCCTGAAACGGTCCAAACCCAAACAGAATCACGTTCAGCACTAATGTTTGTATCACGGAAAATCCATTTAGACCACAATCTGGTCCCAGTGTTGACAAAACAGAGCGGGAACTAATCCTCCGACCGCCAACCGGAGAGGCTCCGACAACAACAACACTGTGGTTGGCTGCATGTCTGGACGGCAGCCAATCAGCCTCCTGCTGGCGGCGAGGGGAGAGGGTCACACACTCTCTCTCTCACACACACACACACAGTTTCTTCGTGGTCGAGTTCTGGAGGCACTGCGAGTGATGTCAGCGTCATGGAAGTGAGAGGACTAAAAATACTTCCTCACCGACGGTGAGACACACGGAGAGTAACACACATTTAAATCTCTCATTGTGATTCAGAAAATGAGAGAATTCAAAATATAACTTATACAAATATAACTATAAATATATAGAGCTTATAAAGACAAAAGAAGAAACTGAATTAAACGTTTTATTGTGGGAGTGTATCCTCTGTTTGTTTGTTTGTTTGTTTGTTTGTTTGTTTATTAACATCACAACAGTCTATTCTGAGGTCAACACAGTTTATACAAATATACACATTAATCATCACAACACATCATGATGCACATTTACTGTAAATAGAACTATAACTATTCACACACTAATGAGAGCAGTTTGCAGATTAAACCATTAAATCCTCTCACACCAAACAGTTTCTTATTCATTAATTAGTTTCCTTTCAGTAATAATTCTCTTTAACGATTATTTCTCTCTATGTTACTGTATCTGAACTGTTTGGATTTGCTTTGTAAAATAAATCTGTGCATCAAAAACTACATTTAAACCAACGGTTGGTATTGAATGTTCAGGTTCTTCCTGCGAATGCACTGCAGTGACATTAACCTCTATGTGTGTCTGTGGCTTTGAGTTCTGCTGCTGACAAACAGCTGATGTTTTCCAGCCCTCCTCCTCCTCCTCTTCTCCTCTCCTCTCCTCCTCTCCCTCAGTCCCTGCTCCTGTGTTGTACATGTGGCACAGGAAACAGAGCGGTGCAGCACAGAAATCCACACGACACGGGACGAGCGGCAGCCCCGGAGGTGTGGTGCCAAGTCGTTCTCTGCACGATCGTGTCAACAGGCTGCCTGTCCGGAGACAGAGTAAACTGCCCCCCGCCCACACATATCAGCTCTGAGCTGCTGAGCTAAATTTAACCTCTGACTGCCACCGTCTCCATCAGCATGTTTGCCACTCTGAGCTTCCTGTCATCTCGCTTATCATGGCTTTTATTTTGAAATTTGATCATATTTATTTCTCACAAAAAACGAAATATCATATAAGTCTCAATCTAAGTATCAATAAGACGCAGATTTAGATAATTAGTGTGGGTAACTATGTATCTATAAACAGGGTGATGTGTCTGGTTCTCATTGGATCATCAGGGTATTGATTAGAGATGTTCCAAACAAGAAGCGTTAATTGGTTCACTTTTTATTAATCAGATAGAAACAGCGCCTTGTCAAAGTATAGGGACCAAAGTATCAGAGGATATGTTGCAACACCGGATCCTTTCCTCTTTTAAACAGAAGTATTACAGCTTACTGCTGCATATGCTAACTGTACTAGCTGCTATTAGCTAATTAGCGGTTCTGTTAGCTGACTGGACCCGGACTGTGAAACATACACAGAGAATGAATGCAAGAGAACTTTCTTTATTATCTAGTCTGACATTTAGCTCGCTCTAGCTAACGTTAAAGATACTGGAAATCAAAACTAGAGTTGTTCCGATACCGGTATCAGAGATCGCTCTGATACAGCTCAAATTCTGGATGGGTAACGGCGAGTACGTGCACCGATGCGTCCTGCTACTTCCCAGCAGAGTCCTGTTCACCTTTTTTATTCCCCAGGATGGTGAAGTCATGACTGGGCCTACTCTTATTAGCTGATGTTTTTACCCTAAACAATCTCGCTCCTAATGTCTAAACTAATCCGAATCAACGAAGGCAACAAGTACCAGCTAATCAGAGCAGGGCGGGTCATGACTTCGCCATCCTGGGGGTAAAAAGGCTGCATGGGAGGCATTTTTGCTGGTATCAGTGTCAGAACAACCTCAGTATTGATTATAAAGGAGGAAAACTTCATCGTCTCTGTTTAGTTTTAGTTCTGAAGTTTTGTGAGAATGTTAGTTTCAGTTTCAGTGAGATTTAAAACCTCCGGTCATCATTCTCTGATCAAACCGCAGGCACAAACATGTTATTACTCAAACGTGTTATTAATGTAGCTTGGCAGGATACTCACATCCACCCACACACACACACACACACACACGTGCACAAACCACACACACACACACAGTTGAATTCACGCTTTCGTCCATCTCAGCGTGTCTGCTGGTTGTTTCTTTAACCACAAAACCAACCACGTGTGAACTCTCCATCCTACAGAACAACAACACACAGCACAGGAGATCATGTAGCTCCAACAAACAATATCTGATTACTGCAGCTTGGATCCGTTTTACCAAATCAATACTTTTACTTTAACTGAATATAGTACGTGCATCCGTCAGCATCCTGTAGAAAACCACACAATCCATCTGGACCGAATAAAAAGACGGCGGCACAAACTCACCGTAGCATATTTCAAGATGATATCAGCACGTTCCTCTGCTATTAGAGTCTCAATGTCTTTCTTCATGTCAATATCTGCAGAGAGAGGGAAGCAGGAACTGTAAGAACACCACCAACAACAACAACAACAACAACAACAAGATGATTCAGAGAAAAAAGAGCACAGCTGATAAATGTGGGCGACTGATGATGAGCTGGCAGTGCCGAGAAACTGAAGCACATTTAGCTTGTAATGACTTCATCACACAGAACAAACACAGCTGCCAGTTACTGGTTGCAGGACGAGTTAAAGTGGTTGTAAAAGATCCTGTAACAATGAAGGTAAAAGGACATTTTTGGGTTTTTATCTGCTGAAAGTCCACAAGAAACAGAAATCAGAGATGTGCGATAGTGTCGGTTTTGGTTCGTTGCTACCCCAGAGCTAACTAGCTAACAGCTTCTTTTAGCAACGAGTCCATCTGGAAACTTTCATACATACTTACATACTACATAAATTGTTAAATAGAGGAACAATATAACTGAAGATGTGATCTTAAAAGGGTTAAAATTACATTTTTCATGTCACCTGGACTTTAATTAAAATGTGAAGCCTATTTATGTGTTTCTGTGCCTTTAGCATAGCTAACATATTCCTAGCATTGTTGGTACAAACTGCAGACCCTCATTCGTTGTTTGTTTATTAAATGATGCTTAAAGGTGTCGAATTATTTAAACTAGTTCTGAGTTTGTGTCCTTTTGGTCTGAATTGTTCTC